ATCATTGTAGTGGATGTATTAAAAAATGGGATGTCAAAAGTGAAAATTTTCTTCAACCATATAAATTTTCAAATGTTACATGGACTTGCACAAATATAAAGACACATTTGAAAGATGTCATGGTATTAAAAAAAGATAGAAGATAATTAGTAAATTTGAAAAAGATCATGAACATGAGAATTAAGGGAAATACTAAATAGGTTTATGGTAAATGAGATTATCACACTTCTATATCTGGATCTTTTGCATGATATCCTGGATGAGCAGGGTGACATTAGAATGAGAGGATCCCCCTTTCTCCACGGCTCTTTCAGCCATCTCACTCAATTCTTTGACCCTTTTTCTTCTTTCTTCACTTTCACTTGTCACATCCATTATCTCCGTTATTGCCTTTTCAACATCTTCCTTTTTGACTGCCACGCCAATTTCCTCTTCCTTGCCCCATGTCATCTGAATTTCCACCCCAACCTTCACTCCAACTTTTAGAACGTGCACCACAAAACTTTCATTCAAAAACTGATCCGCAAACAGTGGCCACGTAATCATTGGAACACCAGCACATATGGCTTCTAAGGTAGAGTTCCAACCACAGTGTGTTATGAACCCTCCAATTGCAGGGTGTGATAATATTAACAATTGAGGTGCCCAACCCCGAATCACAAGGCTTCTACAACTTGTTCTTTCCTCAAATCCATTTTCCTCGATCCACTTTTCCAATGCTGCTGAATGATTTCCTTCCCTGATGACCCAAATGAAGGGTCTTTCTGATGCTTCCAAGGCCAAACCAAGCTCTATCAACTGGGGTGCTGTTAAATTGCACAGGCTTCCAAGGCATGCATAGATTACACTCCCTCCCTTCTGACCATCAAGCCATTTTATATGTTCAGATTCATCAACTGAATCCCTACCTCTTTGAACCTTATCCAAGTGATCCTTGTTAATAAGAGACACAGGTCCTATGCACCACACTTTATCATCTTTCACCTTCTTGTAATCCCTTGCATATTCTGGCTCCAATTCTTCAAAAGAATTCATGATTACCCCATAAGTATCCATTTCAGCAGCCATAATTTCACTACTAAAATATTTCCAGCTTTCATTCATCGGCTGTGCAGACTGGGCTTTGGTGATTTCAATTTTGTCAGCGATACCAGGCACAACAAAGAAATCGGACTCAGACGTTATACTCTCCAGAGCATTATAGATCATTATATTATGCTTACACAGAAGAAAAAAGCAACTTACTCCGACAAAAGAAATCCTTGGAGTATTGAATATTTTGGCGATGTGGGATGTATATGGTAAGCACATATCAGATATGATGCAGCTTGGTGCTGGTGTTAACTCTTGAAATAGTTTTTCCACCGGTTGTTGCAGAAGGCTTGTTGCTTGGAAGAAACCTGTGGCAGTGCCTAGTGAAGGTATCATATCGAGATTCTCACACCCATGTGGTACTCCTGCTTCTTCACATGGGAATTGAACTTGAACTAATCTGATGGGAAAGCCAGACTGAATATAACGATCAAAGATTGAGGTGAAACGAGATGCATTATGTGGCGTTGTGACTACTGTCACAATAATATTGCGTTGCACCAATATTTTGGCGATGTCCATCATAGGGATCATGTGGCCTTGGGCCATCAATGGAAACAGGACAAAGTGTAGCTTTTGTTCTTGCGAAGGCATGCTTTTCGGGTGAAATGACAAGTACATACAAATCACAATACAATGAATTCGACTGGTTCATGTATAGTCTTTTTGTAAGTTATATATAATTGATTTATAGGTGAATGTTCACGTAAGCACTTACGTAACATAGGATTGTGTGCCGCTTCTGATTCAAGTATTTAGCTTTTTTGTCCTCTGGTTTCAATCACATCATTAGAAGTTTTTTTCTAAATATTAATCCATTTTAATTAAATTTACCTAAATGAATTCATCTTGATATAATTCGTAAACTACACTTATTCACATCCTTGATATCATCAATTTTATTTTTCTTCTTCTTTATCTATTTTCAAAAACAAATTGGAACTTCTGATCAATTTTCCAACGTGAAATTAGATATATTGAAAATTTGAAATATATTCACTTGAAATATATCTGGGTTGGTATATCAGGAAAATCAGGACAGCATATATAAAATAAAATAGTGATTATATTTTTCCTCTTTTCAAGGGTTATATTGTTGCTTGAAGAAATCTATTGTATGATTTTGATATTATCTTGTTGTCTTTAAGAATCATACAATAGGTAAGATATTTGCGTTTCATTCCACACAAGACATGTACGGGAGGAGTAAGAATGAAAATGACTTTATCCCACTTTTTTATGTAAAAGATATCTATAACAAATATTCTTTTCTGACACGTTTCATAAAATTAATAAATAACAATTAAATTTAGAATATAATTAATAAGTTATTATATTAACTAAATTAAAAATTATTGATATTTAAAATAATCTATAATATTAATAAAAATTATATATTAACTTGTGAATTAAAATTAAAATTAATTTATAATATTATAGCTACTTACTATTATTAATTTTAAATTATTTCATATTTTCAAATTAGAAACTAATGTAAATAAATAATAAATTGTAATTCACAAGCTAAACCTTAACCAGGTGGCTGTTGTTTTTATTTTCCTTTCTGGTTTTTGGAAAAAATAGTGTTGTTGGTAGGTTTAGGAAAGATATTTTAAGTTTCGGGGGTTTCAAGAATCATCAATTCAGGAGGACATCGTCAGAGGGACAATGTTGTTGATGTGCAAAAATGTTTTGGACACTGTCGCTAATCTCACCAAAAGAAATGTTGGTGGAGTCATTAGAACTGGTCTCAACGTTGTTGTTCAAGAGTTGATGGCCTCACCGCCTTCTTAGGTCAAATATGCATCGACTTTGGTAGTTGATTGTTGCATGATGTCTTGGATAAGGGAAGTGATGGCAAGATGAGAAGAGCCTCCTTCTTCAACAGCTCTGTTTCCCATTTGGCTAAATTTGCATACCCTTTCTCTTCTCTGTTTGCTTTCTTCTCCATCTTCATCCATCACCATGCATATTGCCCTCTTAATATCATCCTTCTTCACCATCACACCTCTCTTCTCTTCCTCTCCCCCACTTCAACGGAACTTCTACCCCAACGCTCACCCCAATCTTCAACACATCAGTAACAAGCTTCCCATTAAAAAACTGATCAGCAAATAAAATGTATTATAAACAAGAATAAACTATACTTCACTTCATCTAACATAGAAAACTCAATTATTTTCGTAATAAATACTATAATATTTGTTCAGAAAATAATAGTAATAATAATAATTAAATAATGTTACTTGGGTATTTAAAATGTTAAAGTAAAATTAATAGTTATCTATGTGCTTTAATTTGAAATATCTAGGGCTATATAAGGCCCATTTACGGTTGGAGAATTTGTCAATGATATTAGAACATATCACAGATTAATCTTTACATGTCGTATAATTTTTTTTAAACTATATTTTTTTAGATACTATATAAAAATACATTAGAATACATATTATTAAATACCAATTTTAACACAGATAGCATAAACATAGACACTAATATCTAAATTTGTTTATATGTGCATTCATAAGTATATGTGTGTAAATTATATTACTTATACGATGAAAATTTAAATTATAAAAAAAATGTATATAATGTTAGATTATGAATATTTTTAAATTAATAATAATGAGCAATAAACCCTTTATTAATCAAGCAATCTTTAATATTCCATAAAATATTATCTGATTGGTTATGGGTAATAATGGATCAAATAATGTATTTTATTTTTTAATTGTGGAGCTTCACTAGTACAAAAACTATAAAATTCAATAAAATTGAGCGGGAGATTGAAAATTCATTCACTTTATCTTAGCGCGTAAGACCCTCTTTTCTTATCGAACTTTTCTCGAACCAAGTTTGACGATCATCACATGTAATCTTTATTTCATTTGATACAAATACATGTTAATTAATTACTTTATGTATGATTTTTGTTTGTTTTGACCGATTATTTTCGTGTTCTTGTCCTTCATAGATGCATTTGTTTCTATGTCCTGGTGACACACTTTATTATAACGAACCCACCTTTTGAAGGTTAGTTTTCATTTTCGTTTTGAAGAACTTATTTGTTGAATTGTTGTTTTGTTGAACTTGTTTTTGTTTTTGAACTTGTTTGTTTTTGATTGAACTTTTGATTACTTTTTTGTTTGATTGAACTTGTTTGTTGGTTATTGTTGTTTGATGTTGATATCACACTACACGTTCATAGTTCTTGCTTTATAAAATACCAAAAATTAAAATTTGTTGTTTTTCTGCTTTTCAGGTCTCCTAGAGTTGTAAAAAAGAGATCACAATTAATTAAAAAAACAAAAAAAATAGATTAACATCGTATATTGACAAAATTCAATGTTAAGTTAACATCGTATGTGGACAAAATTTGACCTTATAATTTAACCTCTGATATGACGTCTTTCGCGAATTCGCCGTTAAAAGGCCAAAATATCGACATGTACGCGATTTTTGTACTAGTGTCTTTAGGTTTTGATTTCTCTTCAACGAGGAATGAAAAGAAATAAACAAAAACAATTATATATAAACAATTAACGGGTTAGTGGGTTAAACAAATTGACTCACTAACTCATTTAGTTATAATTGTTTTTAAAATAAAAAAATTACAATTTTTTAATTCAAATATAAATAAACATCACACTAAAATGATGTTAAACTCCACAGACAATTCAAAATAAAAACACAAAAGTATCATATAATCCAAGCATAATCCAAAAACAATTTTTAATATTGATAACTTTTGTATCACTTGTCCATTTATAATATTAGAGTCCTGAATAGATAAATCTATAATATTTTTCTCTCTAAACTTCTTATTTATCCATCCAAATAACATTAAACACAAAATAATAAATAATTAAATTAAATTAGGTGGGTTGGAAGAATGTCCAAGGTTAACTATCGGTGAGTCAGGTTGAAAACTAACCCACATAAAAAATTACATATTTTTCAAACCTAATCCGACTCAAACTCCGAGTTGACTCACATATTAGAACCCATTTTTACAACACTATAAATATTATATATAATATATATATAATATATATATATATATATATAATATATAATATAACCTAATGATAAGTTATAATTCATATTCTAAAGTCGTGAAGAAAGTCTGGGAATTAAAAGAAACTTTCACAAACCGAAACAAAAGACGGAGAAGCAACTGATATTAGTTTCAGGGCTTCAACCTTGACGTGGACCCCACGAACATGCTAAGCTTTTCAATTCTCATACGGAAAGTGAATGACAATTGTGTTTTAGGCCACTGGAATTGTATCTGAAACTTTTTTTTATTGAAATGTGGACAAAAATAATATTCCACCGATAATTTTTTATAATATTTTCCTTTCAAAAAATTAATCGGTGTTCCTTAAAATGCCATAAAATGTCTCTTAAATTTCATACAATGAGAGTGTGTGGTAAGTGTTTAGAGTAATATGTATCTAAACCGTGCCCATGATCCAAATTGAAAAAATTCATACGACGTAGATGAAAAACATACACGCGTATACAAAAAATTGATTATCTACCGAGTATCGTGTCTAAAATAATACTTACTTTTTACACTGAAATAATACTTACTTTTTACAGCCTGCATAATTATATTAGGAGTGTTCTCCCTACACCTCACCAGTCACACTCCTACACCTCCCAATTATAGTTATATCTTTCATTTAAAAAAATCTAAAAAATTATAATAATGATTTAATGATTTTTCAACTCCAACAACTCTTAATCCTATACTATTATACTGTAACTCCTGCATGCACACTATGCTGTTTTAGTTTTATGCTTTTATTTAGGTGTTTTAGTTATTTTGTTCATTTTCTTATATATAATTTAAATAAAATGTGTTAAAATAATCAAATAAATATATAATAATAATTAGTTAATAAATAATACTTAAATAACTACAAATTATAAATTAAGAAATAAATTAATAAGTCAAATATTAAAAATTTAAGCATAATAAATATTATTAAATAAATAAATAATTTCAAAAACATTAACAAACAGATATAAATTTCAAATTAATTACATTATAAATAATATTTAAATAAACATCAAATATTAAAAATTAAAAAAAGTTAACAAATCAATAAAAAAAGTTTTAAAAAAACAACAAAAACACAACAAATTAAATTTAAATTAATAAAGGGTTAAAATTTTTAGTCCCTAAACTATTGGGTTTCTGGTTTTCGTTCCCTCTTTCAAAGTAAGGTACAATTTGGTCCTCATTTTGTTCGAAACGTTCGTTTTTAGTCCTCGGAATTTTGGTTTTAGGTCCTCATTTGTTGCTAAATGAGGACCAAATTTTAAACAGTGTTTAGTTTTCGAGGACTAAAACGAACGTTTCGAAAAAAAATGAGGACCAAATTGTACCTTACTTTGAAAGAGGGGAACAGAAAAAACAGAAACGAGACCAATAGTTTAGGGACTAAAAACATATTTAACTCCATTAATAATGAATCAAATCTAAAAAAAATATAGAACAATAATTAAAATATAATTCATTGAAAAATAAAATATCAATAAATAATATAGACTAAAAAATTAACAAACAAATTTAAATTTCGAAATTAAGAAAAATTAATTACATTAAAAATAAAATTTAAATAAATATCAAATATAAAAATAAAATACAAAATTACAAAATATTAACTACAAAATATTTAATATTTAAATAAACTAAAAATAATATAAAAAACAAATCAAGTTTAAAAAACAATTAAATGTAATAAAGCAATAAAGGAATAAAAAGGAATGAAAAAGCAATGCTTAAACGCATTTCAAGCTGCGACAACAGTAAAACCGCACTTCCAAGTGCGGTAGCTGCATTTTCAATTGCGGCGCGGTATGAACCACACTTTCAACTGCAGTTAGACGGTACGACGAGTTCTAAATCGCACTTCCAATTGTGAAGAGTTTTGCAACCCCTCTTCCAACACTGGCGTGCTCTCAATTAGTGGGGTTAAGGCCTCGACTTTCGTCCCATCCAGCTTACAAATGCATCCCAGCACATACAATCTTAGCATACAAATAGCATATACAAATACTACATACAAACAATTCATACAAACAAAATATATAAACGCGACAACAAGTAAAGTGAGAGAAATGGGAGGAGCACTGGAGAAGAGAGGAGAAAGGGGTGTAGGATTTCAAACAAGAGTACAATTAAATAATAGAAAAATAGAAGAGTAGAGATACTGGTGAGTTGTAGAAACAAAACACTCATATTAGTTTGTGATTGATATATTTACATATAAATAATGAATTTGAAGGATTTAATAATAATTTATTGTGGCTGCAGTGCATGGATACGGAAGGTGTAAGAGTTTTGGCGTCACAAAATTCTCTGCCAAAAAGATGCAAACAAAGTTGATAACACAAATACGTGTTGTCACTCTTTGCATGTGATGGTCAGCTCAGGAACTTCTACTTATCTCTCCCTACCACCTCTTCAGCTGCAAACGATAAGCTTCCTTATGTGAATCCATGAAATTTATATTACATCACCAAACGAAAATTATTAGGAAATTGTAGTTAATAATCATTTTATTTATGTGTTTAATCTAAAGTTTAAATAAATAAATTACATAAAAATATGATACTCTTTCGAGGGTTGACTCTGCTCCAATCGTCCAATTCTCTTCAAGAATGCAATCCACACAAACCGGTGAAAGATACTCCGACACTCAAGTCAGATAATTCATAAAGAGTTTTCTATTTTTCTAAGATAGAAAAATGTATCTTTCTTTAGCTGGACATTAATAGTATATTTACAGGGCTTATAACAATCAAGTCCATTAATTAATCATTAATACCATTTAATATGACAATCAAACCATTAATATCGTATATTTATATTTGACAGAACAATCAAAACATTAATGTTGCATATACGACAATCAAAACCATTAATACTTGTTAATATAACTATTAACTACTCATAAATAACCGTGACACTCTTAATTAGCCCTTAATTAAATTTGGAAGATAAAAGAATAGAAAAGTTTAATAAAAATATGTGAATAATGAAAAATAATAAGAATCAATATTGGAAGTCTTATATTTATATACGTGGTTATAAATATCATTTTACAAAATCCATTTATTTGAGATTAATTTATGTTTGAAGTCTAATTTTTAACCATAAAAATTAAAATATGATATAAAATAACAAATAAATAATTTAATAATGACATTATTAATAAACTAAAAAAAATAAATAACAAAATATTGAAAATAATATACTTTATTTAAAAATTTATGTTAAATTTAAATAATATTTTAAAAATAATCTCACCAACTATATTATTAGAAGGTGAAAATTGTAAATTCCTTAAACTTTTAAAGATATAAAAATAACTAACTATTTCAGTATCAATTTGTTTTTCTAAAATTAATGTTCATATTGCAAAATTTAAAATTCGAAATATATAGTAAAAAAGTTTGAATTTGAAATGGTAACAAGCTTGAATTTGAAAATCAAAATGTAAAATAAATATATAAAAATTGAAGCATTTTTAATGGACCCCAGGACCCACTTAATGTCTCTAAAAGAATATCATATATTTTTAACCTATAAGAAAAATTCTTATTTAGGATGCAAACAAAAATCTAAAAAATAAAAGATAATTTTTTAATAAAAATATGTAAATAAAGAAAAATAATAATAATAAAACTTAAAATTCATACAAAACAATAAATAAATAACTGAATAATGACATTATTAATAAACTAAAAATAATAATATATAAGATTGTTGCATGGTCTTGGATAGTAAAGTGATGGCAAGATGAGAAGAGCCTCCTCTTCAAACAGCTCTCTTCCCATTTGGCTCAATTTGCATACCCTTTCTCTTTCTCGTTTGCTTTTTTCTCCATCTTCATCCATCACCATGCATATTGCCCTCTTAATGTCATCCTTCTTTACCATTTTCTTTACCATATCCATTGATGTTACCATGTCGAAATTCTCACAGCCTTCAGGTAGTCCTGCCTCTTTTGCTGGAAAATGCAGCTGTAGAAGTCGGATTTGGAGACCAGATGAAACAGCACGAGAAAGGACTGAATTGAAACGTGATGCATTTTTTGGTGTTGTGAATATGGTAACAACCACACCACGGTGTGCCAATATTCTTGCAATATCAATCATTGAGATCATGTGGCCTTGAGCCAGTAGAGGAAACAAGACAAAGTGAAGATTTTCTGTTAGGAAAACCATGACTGCAAACGAAATGAGGCTTTCGAGTGTGGCTTTGATGTTGCCCTTCGCATTTGCTTAATTGTCCCAGTTTTTATAACGAGTGCCATAATTTTTTAAGGATAATGTAAGAGAGAATATGCATAAATTTTGAGGGATTTAATAATAATTTATTGTGGTTGGAGTGCATGCAGTACATGGATACAGAAGGTGTAAGAGTCTTGGCGTCACAAAATTCTCTGCCAAAAAGATGCAAACAAAGAAGTTGATGACAAAAATCTTTGCTGTCAGGGCTTCTTTCAAATTCTAGTTATCTCTATAAAAGATTCAAATATTCCAGTATATGATAAATGATCGGGGCAACTAGAATATAATAATCATTAATAAATAGTTACTTTATTCTAGTTAGCAAAGTCAGTATAGGTGATTCTCTTACTAATTTTTTTCTTAAATAATAATATTTTTAAAAGAATTACCTATATAAGCCAAGTGAAATAATTTAGCTAAATAAATATTTTTTAGTGTTCATCATGAATATAATTTAGCTAATTGTTATCACTCAAATTATTTTTTGTCAATAAAAACAAATGTTATTTTTCAGTTGATATGACAGTATTAAATTTTCTTTGTAAATATGAATGATGATGGATTTCTTTTTCAGTGATATAGACCATAAAATTTTCAATTTATGTGAATTAAAATTGTTTTCAGTTAATGTAACTTGAGATTTTGTTTTTCATTCTAATATTTAAGTTAAAATTATTTTTCAACTAACGTTAATTGGGTTTTCTCAATTATATAACTGCAATATATGTTTTCTTTGAGTTAATTGTTATTTATATATTGAATTAGTGATGATTTTGACAATAGTTTAATAATAAAATAGAATGTTAGAATAGAATGTTATATATAACATATTAAATTTCATAGAAATTTTAAATTTTCTATCCAAATCACCGTATAGAGGAGTAGTAATTATGCTCAATTGATGAAGAAAATATTTTTGTACTTTGGACTCTCCATATACCGTAGGTATATTAAAAGATTTAATATTAATTGAATGCCTTTTTTACATTTGATATTATTATTTGCTTTTTGAAGCATTTTGGTTTGAATTTGGCTCCAGAAACACAAACCATCCTAAGGTAATTAAATTGCTTAAATGAAAAATCGTTTTTAGTTTCACAACACGACAGAGCCCTCCATGATACTCAATGACATTTTGAGGATGAAACTCTTGAAAAATGGCGGTAAGGTGAGATTAAGAGACAAGAACTCCAACTCCAGTGTGATGTTGAGGTGCTTAATAAAATTTAAGATGAAACTCAAATACTCAAACAAAATTTAAACACTTTAAACATAAAAGATCATATGAGATTTCAAAGAAAATTACCAAATAATTGATAATATTTAACAGATATTTAAATAATTCGGAGTCACTTAGTTAAGTATAATTTAATTTTTAATTTGAATTAGAGTTTGCACATTATCTTCGGACGGTAATATCCTCCTTATTTTTTCTAGTCACAATTCTTGCTCATTAAAACTTTGGCCACGTGATATAGCCAGAATTTATTTCCTCTTTCATCGTTAATACAAGCACAGGGAGGCAGGGAGGCAGGGAGGGAGAGAGGGAGAAAGAGAGAGACTTGTACACCATTAATTCTTTAATATAGAAAAACAAATAATGAAAATACTAAAAAAAGTCCTCCCTCGTGTAGTTTCAAGTGTATAATTAATATACAACAATTTACACGATCACGACACTAATATAAATGTACATTTAAAAGGAGAAAGAAAGGAATAATGTTCAATTTCAAACTTTACAAGAAAACAACATACTTGAGGAGGGAAATGGATAGAATAGAATACAGAAGAGGCGATTGCTAAAGCAAAACCCCGTGCAAGAACGTCACCAACAGCCATGTTGCCTTAACATGACAAACATACAAAGCAGCAGGCTGATCCACTCAACCTTCCTAAAAAAGCTCATGGCTAATCCTCATTTAAGTTATATAATCTAGAGCCGTTGCTAGTTCTTCACGGACTCTGCATCATTGTTCCTTGATGTTGAGTCCACCCATGAACATAAATTGGAGGATTTCAGCAACAAGCCCAGAGCGGCAGAACATGTTGCTCTAACAACAGAATCAGGTGATCGACTCATTTTCCCAACCAGCATACCAAAGACCTAAAAGAAGACAGACAAATCTGGTGAAACCGAGTTTTAGCCGAAATGCCTGAAAATTGCAACCGCGTCCTGAAAATACCTGTGAATGATAAACAGATAAAATATGCTGATTGTCCGATAGAGAGAGCATGCTGCTGCAGAAGTATATAGCATTTGCCTGAATTATGGGCCATGGTGCGTCAAAAGCCTGCCTCATCAAGAAAGCAAATAATTAAATTCTCAAGGCCTTAGATTTAAACAGCAGGAAAAATAATTCATAACACACCAGTGCTTGGTGAGGTTTCTAATGCCTTCTTGTACAATTATTTACAAGCTTACTTGCATTGGGGAATTATCAAGTAGGAAAGTCCATGAAAAGAAAATTCAGATAAAATGCATGAATTAAATAATGTTCTAATACATATTGGCCCTTTATCCAATCTTACTATGCTCTACACATTCGACCAAAGTTGACAGATCATGCTTCAACAATGCAGAGAAGATGAGGAATATTTTGTACGACTTAATACTTGAGAAGAGGATGTTTAGAGAGATTTATTTTTTAGTTACTTGAATGGAAAAGCACCCAGCAAAGACGGATATATATGCACGCACACCCTGAAATAATTTCCTTTTAAGATTACAAGGAAAATGAATAAGAATGCTTTCTCCCAGGTTTATGAATGGTGTTTTCTATGTACATGAAGCTATATCCATAAACCTTAATATGAATCTGAATAAATTCCAACTTGTAATTCCAATACAGATAATTCTCAAAAAAGAAAAAATGAAACTTATATACACATATATAAAAGAGATACAGTATCTACATTAGATTCTTTCAACTAAAATGGAAAAAGAAAAGATATTACAACTCATTCATCCCAAAAGAGAGATTGTTTAGGAATGGGGTAACAAAAGAACTGCATGTTCAATTTTGATTAATTTCGAGAGAAAATGAATTATAGTGCACAAACAGGGTAACCTTGCAAGGTCAATGATTTCTAAATAGTATAAAAAAATTTATTCTGATAGTACATGAATATTAAACTCCAAGAGAAAAAAAGATTGGTTTTAAAAAAATTCAAATGCTGTCTCATACATTAAGATTAAAGCTTTGGCTATAAAATTATCATGAAACACAAAAGTAAGTTGATCCAAGCACATATAATCTTAATTTCAGTCAGTGAAAAATATGACTAATTGTGTTATAACCAAAATTGTGAACAGGAACCTGCACCGATGAAGCCATATAACTATCAACTCTGATGGGAAGATGTTGAGTAAATTGCTTTGCAATATCTCGGAGAAAGTCCTCATAGTCACTTCTATATACACAAAAGACGCCATTGTCATAATTATACAGCATAATTATACGTCATTGTAAATTATTCAAAATAATAACAAACTAGGCAATTTTACAATCTGTCAAACCATACCGATGATCAGAAAGGAAACTGTGTGTGTTTAGTACAGCATGCAATCGTTCAATTTCCATCAATGGGCAAACTTGTTTCATGGTATTCTATCAAAAAGGAAGCATTTATCATGTCAGATATTTCTTTACAAATCTCCAATTCAAGAAAATCCACGATGATGGTCAATTACCCGACAGGCTGATCGGACACTAACATCTTCATCATGAAGATGCAAGACCAGGCGAGGAACAGCAGCATGCACCTTTCAAAAAAATCATAAAATGAGCTTGCCGAAATACTTAGAGAAGCTAAAACATGACGATCACCAGTTCAGTTAGTCTACTATGCAATCAAAAGGTGCACCAAAATAATGGAAGACATATCACCTTGGAATACTTGGATGATAAACTTGTCAACTTGGTTGGTAATATTTCTAAGAATATATGATTTTTTTGGATACTGGTTATATAACAAGAAAGAAGTATGATGTGTACCTACTAAGAGATTAACCTTTTGTTTTCCTTGTAATAAAGTATTTTACTAGGTTTTGAAATTGCCAAGTTGCAAATTCCAAATTTGGTTATTGGATAAAACCAACTACCTTTAAATTGGAATATGTGAAGTCTAAGATTATCATATAAACATATCAGTGCATAACTTTATAGTAGCACAAGATAAGAGTGAAATTCTGTATTTGGAGATTAGTTAAGGATGGAGGGAACTGGGCATTGTACCCAGCTCGGGGCTTTAGTATGGGTAAGTCTACAAATAGCCGGTTGGCAGAAATAAGGCACAAATAGTTCTTAACTACAAGCTTAAATGTGGCCAATTTTTTTCCTGTGTATGTACCAAACTTGTATTAATTATCATTTTAAGTTAACCCAAATGGTATTCAGAATGAAAACGTGGTAAAATTGCTATCAGCTAGTTATGTCACCTGTTAGAATCCCGTTTTTTTATGCTGCAGTCAATATGTCCCTGTACAGTTGTAATTACATAATTGGGAGATTTAACTGCATTTCATAATTAGGAGGGTTAATAATCTGACAATATATTTTATATTTATTGTACAAGAGCATTGATCCTAAATTGTAGAGATAGATTATATCCATCATAAATTAGGGTTTTCAGTTGTTATGTCTTTGTATTCTATTTAAGAGCAATTGCTCCTCTATGAATAATATCAAAAATAATTTTTCTAACATGGTATCAGATATTTAAAATCCTTGGGGGCCAGTGTGATCTCTTGCGCAGCCTACATTGCAGAAACATCACAAACCTTTCTTTATTCTATTGTATTCCTTCTCGGCCTACATTGTCACAGTTCAAACCTAAAAAAGGTCTGATACTCAAAAAGCTCGATTCACCACATAGGAGATTCTAAGATTAATATGGTTGTTGGACACACTAACAAAACATGTAGACTCAAGTAATTGCTCCTTAGCATTCGCATTCGCAGGTAATATTTTGTACTCCTACACACGTGAATTTTAAGCATAATTCAACCCTACAAAACTGGTTTGTCTAAAATTAATAGGATTGTTGAACACATTAACAAAACATGTAGACTCAAGTAATTGCTCCTTAGCATTTGTAGGTAATATTTTGTACTCCTATACATTATGTTAAGAAGTGAACTTCAAGCCTAACTCAACTCCACAAAACTGGCTTGTAAAGTGAGGTTTGTACCCACTTATACATTATAAATTAGCATTTTCGCTAGGATAGACTCAAACCCATAACTCTAATACCATGTCAAGAAATAGACTTTTTAAGCCTAACTCAACCCCACAAAATCTGCACCCACTTATACATTATAAGTTAGCATTTTCGCTAGGATAGACTCAAACCCATAACTCTAATACCATGTCAAGAAGTAGACTTTAAGCCTAACTCAACTCCACAAAATCAGATTGTAAAGTGAAGTTTGCACTCACTTATATATTCTAAATTAGACTTATCTTTAGTTGACGTGAGACTTCTAACATACTTAATGTCGTAAGTTCCTCTAAAGCTCTATGGGTAGTTGATTCTAAAGCCAAATACCACATGTCTCAATGTTCTAGTGGGTTTATATCTTATAAAGCCCATGCAACTAACTAAAAAGTTGCACTTCGAGGATGGAACTTTCATCATAGTTGCTGGAAAAGAAGATATTATGATAAATCAAAATCTAATTCTGAAGGGTGTACTAAATGTTCCAAAATTATTTGCTCTAAATCAGAATCTAACACAAAAAATCGCTATAGGAAAGACACTGCCACACACCACTACTGTCCCCGGCGTGTGTAGTCCATATGCTAGTTTCGGTGAGACTCACTTGTCGCCGCTGTCACAAAAAGGGTCGCCGAAACTTCCTGAGACTATTCCACGGGTCGATGGAGTCCTATTTGGCCCAAATTTGAGTAGAATCTTATCAAGTCCTTATTTCCCCATTTGTTTACCAATAAGTCTCTTGAGTCTTTTAATCGTGATATTTGTCAGTTGTCAAAACACCATCGTGCATCTTATCCTATTAGTCATAAAAAGAGTACTTCTCAATTTGATTTAATTCACTCTAATGTTTGGGAACCTGTCCTAGAATCTATTTTTGAAGCAAAATGGTTCATTACCTTTATTAAAAATTGTATTCATGTCACGTGAACATACCTTATAAAAAATAATAAGTTTTCCAAACCTTTGTTAATTTTTTCCATTTTGTCCAAATTCAATTTGGAAAAAATATCAAAAGAATCAAGTCTGATAATGGTACTAGGTATGTGAATAATGAATTTCTCAATTTTTTGTCTCATAATGGTATTGTTCGGGAACTAACATGTGTAAACACCACATTGTACAAAGAAAGAATTGTTATCTTCTTGACATAACTTGAACTTTTCTTTTTCAGATGTCTGTTCCAAAAAGTTACTGGAGAAAAGTTGTGTTAACTGCCACACATCTCATCAACAGGTTACCCACCCTATCTTAAATGACATTAGTCATATAGAGATTCTATTGCCTATTGTTCCTTATTTCGCCAAAATATCGAGTCTATCTAGTCAAGTCTTTGGATGTACTGTAATTGTTCACTCTCATCATCCTAATCGTGGTAAATTAGATCCCAGAGCTCTTCAATGTGTTTTTATTGGGTATCCTTCTAATAAAAAATGGTACAAATGTTATCAACCTCAAAGTCATCACATCTTTAACAGCATGGATGTCACCTTTCATGAAACACAATCCTTTTATATCAGTCCACCACTTTAGGGGGAGAAAGGACTTGAAGTGGATGAGCTCCCCTTCTTGTCATTACCATATTTCTCTTTGCAGGATGCCCAAAATCTGAGCAATGAAGCTACCATAGTCCACAATAAAGAAGAAGAGAAAGATGAAATTTTTTGGCAAAAAATATGAAAGAAAACAACCAACTTAGGCTCTCGAGCAAAAAAAATGTCTAATATGGAGGTGAGGATCCCTGAAGATAACAATGAGAAGGTAAGTATTAACTAAGGATTTACCCATTGCATTGAGAAAGGAAAGAAGATCATGTACTAAATATCCCATTTCTCACTATGTTTGCACTAATTGTTGAATAAAGTGAAAACTATGTAAGAGATTAATCTCTCTTTTTGTTAAATATGCACAGAGGGTCCTCTATTTATAATAGAAGAAATATGGGCTAAGCCTAAAATATAAAAAAAAAATAATAACAAACTAACTAAAGATAAAAGATAAGATAAAGATAATATATCTAACACTCCCTATCAAGCTAGTGCATACAAATCGTATGTACTAAGCTTGTTGCTAATATAATCCCATAACGTCTTAGTGAAAATATCTGTTTCTGCACTCAAGTGACACCAAATTGTTAATGATTTATGAACACGACATAAAAGACAAAATACCAGCCTAGAAGATTCTCCATTTGCAACAAATCTGGGAGGTTGCTCTATATAAATATCTTCTTACAAATCACCATTGACGAATACATTATTGACATCCAGTGGATAAAGACATCATTGTTGAAGAGCCACCAAGACTATAAATAAACTAATAAAAGTCATATTTACCACGGGAGTAAAAACATATAAAGACAGGTTAAACACAATGGTGACCAAAGGGAGGTCAGACGAGACAACAACAGAAGAAGTCATGGGTGAACATGAGAGAAAAACCTTAAAAATCTAAGATTCTGCAATCAAGGCACCTGAAAAAGGAAAAAGAGCAATCTCGATGCTCTGAATAGTTGCCTAAGAGGAGACAAGACGTGTGACAATGCATGACGAACTTGAAAGAGGAAAAAGAGCGACCTCGACTCTCTTAATTGCTGTCTAGGAGGAGACGCGACGTGCCACACACACGACGAAAAAGGGAGCAGATCCACAACTTCAAAAGGCACTAAAAGCGCGTCGGAACTCCGATGAAGGTGTTGTTGACGGCACAGTGGTCACCTGGTCGAGACGATCAAAACCGTGTGATCGTCGGTCGAAACTGGAACTCCAATAGTGGTAGCGGTAGACAACGACAGTAGACGATGACAATGCCGACAACGGTAGATGGCTTCGCCGCCAACATCAGCAAGTGTAATGATAGAGGCAACAATTTTTTTCCTCATAATAACCTTATGCTTTAGATATCATGTTGAAAATAGTGACAACTATGTATGAGATTAATCTCCCTTTTTGTTAAATATGCACATAAGGTCTTCTATTTATAATAAAAGAAATATGGGCTAAGCCCAAAATACAAATAAAAAGTAATAACAAACTAGCTAAAGATAAAAAATAAAGATAATATATCTAATACTAATAATCTTTCTCATAAGCACAAAAACTTTATTGCTGCCATTGGTGCCACAAAAATTCCTACCTCAATCCAGTAGACCATGAAACTTGAACATTGGAATCAAGCAATGAAAGAATAAATGAATGCATTAGAAAGAAATTCAACTTGGGAGATTGTTCATAAGCCAAGACACAAGAAGCCAGTGGGGTGTAGATGGATATTCACAGTGAAAGATAAGGCAAATGAAACAATAGAAAGATACAAAGCTATATTGGTAACAAAAGCCTATACCTAAACTTATGAGATTGACTATGAGGAGACGTTTGCCTAGTGACAAAGAAGAATACAGTTCGAGTTGTTCTCAATTTGGCTGCTCATTTTGGTGAGGACTTATGCCAGTTGGATGTGAACAATTCCTTTCTTCATGGAAATTTAGAAGAGGAAGTGTACATTTAGCTTCCCTTAAGTTTTGAAGTGAAAAATGAAAGAAAGAGGGTATGCATCCTAAAGAAAGCATTGTATGGTCTTAAGTAATCCCCTAAAGCATGGTTTGGAAGATTTACAAAAGCAATGGTTTCCTTGTGATACAGACAAAGCCAAGGAGATCATAT